GTTTAGGGTTGAAGGTTGGGGGTTTACAGTTTAAGCTTTGAGGCTTTGGCTTCTGAGAGTCGGAATGGGGAACTACCACTGCAAAGCTCCACGGCTTATGGTTGACGGGAAAGAACCCTAAACCCTAAACCCTAAACCCGAAACCCTGAACCCTGAACCCTAAACCCTAAACCCTAAACCCTAAACCCTGAACCCTAAAGCCCTTGGCGAAGTCTTCGAAGCTTTCGAGGTCTCCTTGGCGGGAGATGTCTGCCATGTCCTCGGCCGCTCCGGCGGATCCTTGCAGCTGGCTGCCGGGCAGGCGAGGAGGGATCCATCTACCTTTCAGGGTTTAGGGTTCAGGGTTTAGGGTTTAGGGTTCAAAATTTTGGGTTTAGGGTTTGGGGTTTAGGTTTTAGGGTTCAGGGTTTAGGGTTTAGGGCTAACCCTAAACCCTAAACCCCTAAACCCCCAAACCCGTAAACCCTAAACCGTGCCTACAGGTTTTAGGGCTTAGGGCTCAAAATTCAGAGTTTAGGGTTTAGGGCCCAGGGTCTAAGATTTAGAGTTCGGGGTTTAAAGCCTAGGGTTGAAAAATATTTAGGATTTAGGGCGTACCAGTTTCAGAATTTAAAGGTTTGAGGGTTCAGGGTTCAGGGTTCAGGGTTTAGGGTTTAGGGTTTAAGCTTTAGGGTTTAGGGTTCAGGGGGGACTCTTCGAATCATTAAGGCCATAACTCCTAGTCATCCTCGAACCCTAAACCCCTAAAGCCTCAACTCTAAACCCTAAACCCTAAACCCTAAACCCTAAACCCCTAAACCCCTAAACCCTAAACCCCTAAACCCTAAACCCTAAACCCCAAAACCCCTAAACCCTTTCTTAAAGAGCCCTTAAGAGAACGCGAGGAGCCCCGAAGTCTAAGCCCAACACCCCAAGCGCCCGAGCTCCCTAACCCGGACCCCGAGGCCCCTGAGTTTAGGGTTAAGGGTTCTTCAAAAGGTTTCAGGGTCTAGGGCTGAGGGTTTAGTGTTCGTAGGGTTTAGGGCTTAGGGCTTAGGTCTTAGGGTTTAGGGTTTAGGGCTCAGGGCTTCGGGTTTAGGGTTTAGGGCTTAGGGTTTAGGGTTTAGGGTCGAGGGTTCTTTAAAAGGGTTTAGGGTTTAGTTTTTTTTT